CTCTCCTTCAGCTTGCCTGCCAGAAACAGTAAGCATTGTGCAGAAAACTAAGGATAGCTGTGTTGGGTCAAAGCGAATTACACAGTGCTCTGGGTGTCCCCAAGCGTGACTCAAACTCCAGAAGGCCACCACTATCACTCACCTTCACGGCCGTCTCCTGGTACCTACATCTTCTGTGGTCACAGGCTTCAGCTGATGCCCCTGGTCTGTTCTTGCTCAGGGCTCTGCTCACAGGCTATCCTCTCCAACCTTCTGAAGGAGCCTTAGAGCCCAGCTGCCTTGATAATGACCCACCCACCTTTTTCCACAGCTGGTCCATCCTGTTTCCCTCACCTGTCGGGTTTCCTGAAGCAGGAAACAGTCTCATCTCCACATTCCCTGAATATCTTTATTGGGTGGACTCAAGAAAAACACACTTGAGCAGTGGTGGTGCACTCCTTTAATCCCAGCACTTGGGAGGCAGAGGCAGGCGGATCTTTGCGTTGGAGGCTAGCCTGGTCTACAGAATGAGTTCCAGGACAGCTAAGACTACAGAGAAATGGGTGAGAAAAACAAACAAACAAAAACCACAAAAACAAAACATATAACCTATGTTGGGGGCAATCAAGCCTCCAGCTTTGTTTTCCTGCAGTGCTCTCTCCTAGGAATGGGCCTCCCTGGAGCAAAAAGGCTGACATATTCAGATCCCAGACACAAGCGGCTTAGTCCAGGTTCTTTTCAAGGCTCAGGATGGTGGCAGAGACATGCCCATCCACTGAGATTCCTTGGACCCAGATGTCAGAATTGTAGTCATCCTTCATGGGTACAGCATGGCCTGGCAGTGTCCCCATCTCACCTCCCACCTGCCCATGTCTTCGATGCCCCCACTGCTCACAGACCACTCCACTAGTCTTCTGCCCTACGGCAGCTGATGCCCCTGCCTCACATTCCTTGCTCAGGTAAACCTGGTACGACCCACCAGTCAGCTCCCTCTTGCAGGACAGGACAAGTACCCTCTGGCTGCCTGGGGAAAGCTACCCATGGCCTCAAGGGTTGACTTCATCACCTACGCACCAGCTCCTTTTTAGTATGCAGAAAGCAGCTCGGCTCACCTTCTAAAAGCTCCCATGCCCTCCAGTCTCACCCACTCAAAGGTTCTTCTGTCCTAAAGGCAGGCAGGCTGTGGGGGTCAGAGCAGCACGGAATACACACTGCCCACTGAACATTCCTCCCTTCTCTGAAGGGGCTGGGCTAAAGACTCAGGCGATTCAGGAAGATCTCCAACCATTCTAGTTAACACTGCGAATTGTGAGGTAATGCCCACGGCCAGGCATTTATGTTGCTCTCATCTTCCTGTTCCCATTCCCAATCACCCGCCCCAGTACTTTCCTCTGCTGTGGAGAAGCACCGTCAGCAAGGGTCTGAAGGCCAGGGCTCTGCCAGCAGGGCTTCCTGTCCCTCTTCTCTTCAGGCACTCTTCACTCTTGGCAAGGGTCTGCTGGCTACATCTTATCTGTATGCCAACTGCTCTCTATCACCTTTTCCAGTGCTGGACTGAGAACCCAGCATCTCCTCCCTTTTTCAGAAGGTATACAGTGCCCTGGAACACTCTTCTCTCTCCCACCAGGAGCAGTCAAGCTATGCTAGCCAAGAATTTCCTGTATGCTTTCTCCTTCCCACCTTCCTTCCCCTGAGACATCTTCACATAACCCATCCTTGGGCCAAACACAGCTAAGCCTCCCAAACCAGCTGTCTCCCCACTTACTCCAGGATTCTCTGGCGCCAAACTAAAATCAAACCCCAAACTCTCACCTATCTAGGAAGCCACCCTTTCTCCCACTGGGGTTCCTGGAACCCACATCCACACCATGGTTACACCGCCTACCCTGGGGGCTCACCTTCAAGGCTCACCTTCATCTACCCATAAAAATTCAACTGTAAACCTAAAAGTCTCATGGGACTTTCACAACTGGAGATTTGGTGGCTCAGCTGGTACAGTGCTTGCCTAGTATGCACAAAGTCCCGTTCAGTCCCCTGCACCTCCACAACTGGGTTTGGTGGTGCATGCCTCTAATTCCAGCACTGAGTGGGAAGACATGGGAGGATCAAGAGTTCATCAAGGTTTTCCTCAGCTACTCATCAAAGTTGAGGGATATGTGAGACCATCTCAAAAAAAAAAAAAATTTTTTTTTAAAGAGTTTTAAATGATTTGCTGTATAGTGGCACACACCTTTAATCCCAGCACTCAGGAGGCAGAGGCAGGTGGATCTCTGAGTTCAAGGCCAGTGTGGTCTACAGAGTGAATTCTAGGACAACCAGGGCTACACAGAGAAACCCTGTCTTTAAAAAACAACAAACAAACAAAAAAAAAAAACAACCTAAAAAAAAAAGAAAATATCTTTAAGGTCTGTTTTTATTAGTTAGGCATGATGATGCACATCTTTAATCTCAGAACTCAGGAGGCAGAAGCAAGCTGTGAATCTGAGGCCAGGCTGGTCTATGCAGTACGTTTGAGGCCAGCCAGTGCTATGTAGAGACCGGTTCAAAAAACAAATTTGTGTTTTGTCTGCATGTAAGCATATGTGTGCAGTACCCATGGAGGCCAGAAGAGGGCACCAGATCCCTAGAACTCCAGTTAGAGAAAACTGAGCTACCATGCAGATGCTAGGAACTGAATATGGGTCCTGTGTAAGACAGCCAGTGATTAAACACTGAGACATCTCTCTGGCTCCTTACCTTTATTTGAAAATATGTGTCTGAGGGCTTTGCATACACATATGTTTGTGTGTCATATGCATGCAATGCACATGGAGGCTACAGAGAGCATCAGATCCCCTAGAACTGGAGTTATACAGATGATTATGAAACCCATGTGGATGCTGGGAGCCAAACCTGATACTGAAGCTTCTGGACCTTAACCTGAGCCTTCTCCAGGCCCATCCCTTATTATTCATTTATTTCTATGTTATATGCATTAGGGTTTGCCTCCATGGCTGTCTATGTGAGGGTACTGGATTCCCTGGAACTGCAATTACAGAGGGTTGTGAGCTGCATGGGTACTTTCTGAAAGACCAGCCAGTGCTCTGAGCCACTGCTCCACCTCTGCAGCACCCAGCCCTATTTTTAATTAACATAAGCATATGCATCTATGAGTATGTGCACATAAGTACAGGTGCCCACAGATAGACTAGAAGATTGCTCCGACCGCGATATTTGTTAAAGGTGACTGCACAGCTCTCAGGTATTAACTTTGTAGATAACACTGGGTCACAGTGGGCTGGTCTGCATGAAAATGGACCCAACAGGCTCATTGGGAGCAGCACTATTAGAAGGTAGTGTGGCCTTGGAGGAAATGTGTCACTAGGGCTGGCTTTGAGGTCTCAGAAGCTCAAGCCAAGCCCAGTCTCTTTTCCTGCTACCCGCTGAAGCAGTTGTAGAAATCTCCGCTTCTTTTCCAGCACCATGTCTCCCTGCTCACCACCACGCTTCCCACCATGCAGATAATGGGACGAAACCTCTGAACCTGTACCCTAACCCTAAGTCAGCCACAATTAGTTTCCTTTGAGTTGCCATTGTCATGGTGTTTCTTCATAGCAATCACCCTAAGACACATAGCATCAAAAGCTTGAACATGCCTGTGTGTAATTAAAAAAGCTCCCCCCTCCACTAACCTCTTAATTACAATCCACTAAATATTGTTCTTTTCTGGTATGCTGTAGTCGCAAACACACATCTATATTGCCCTAGTGCAGTGGTTCTCAACCTGTGGGTCAGGACCCCTTTGGGTATCAAAGAACCCTTTTACAGGGTTGCCTAAAACCATTGGAAAACACAGATATTTACATTACAATTAATGACAGTAGCAAAATTAGTTATGAAGTGGCAATGACATAATTTTATGGTTGGGGGTCACCACACATGAGGCACTGTATTAAAGGGTCACAGCATTAGGAAAGTTGAGAGCCACTGCTCTAGACCATGGCGCCATTATTATGTCTGTTTTTCAGATCAAGGAACTGAAGCTCAGCCAGGTCTGGTGGCACACACCTATAACCTCAGCTCTCAGGGAAGCAGAGGCAGGCGGATCTCAGTGAGTTTGAGGCCAGCATGGTCTACAAAGTATATCCAGGACAGCCAAGACTACAGGAAAACCCTGTCTTGAGGAAAAAAGAAAGAAAGAAGGGAAGGAAGGAAGGGAGGGAGCAAGGAAGGCAGGAAGGGAAGAAAGAAAGAAAGAAAGAAAGAAAGAAAGAAAGAAAGAAAGAAAGAAAAGAAAAGAATGAATGAGCTGAAGTTCAGAGTGGTGAAGTCAACCACCATGGATTTACTTCATTGCAAGCAGCGAGGCTTGGGTTTGAATTCAAGTGTGCTGGACACCAGAGACATGGCTTTGGGCAACCAAGGATGTCCAGAGGAAGAACAAGGTGACTGAGCTGAGGCTCCTCTTCCTGCCTTTGTGCAAAGCCTCCAGGGCCAGAAGAAAGGCTCCATTCACAGGACAGGCATACACAGGAGTGCCTCGCGCCTAGAGCCCCGCTGTACAGCCCTACTTAGCCTTAGCATAACAGATCAGATGATGGGTGGGCTCCACTGACAGAGGGCTCCACTGAAGAACTGAGGATCCAAGTTTCAATGTCAGCCTCAGGATCAGGAGTCCAGAACAGCTGTAGGAGGCTGGCATTTGGTGCCTGCTCAGCACGTGCCAGGCTTTGGAGGCACACACACTGTCACAGTGACAACACAGCATGTGTTCTGAACCAGGCTTAGAGTCAGGGTCACCAGTGCCGCTTGTGATAGATAGTACCCATTTTCTAGATGAAGGTGCTGAGGTTCAGAGAGGCTCAGAAACCTACCCACAATCTTGTGGATGGGGGTGAGCAGGGGGATGGCCAGGATTTGAGGCCTCTTGTTTACTTAAGTCACTGTCACATATCACATTCCCAGAAAGTCAACTGGTGGGGAGAAGAGCTACTGGGGAACGGTCACTCAGATGTGTCAGGAAAAGATATCTCACACAAGGGCCAGGTGTAAAACAGAGGCTTTAATCCAAACAGCAAGGAAGGCGCAGGGCTAGGGACCCAGGAACAGGGGAGGGAGCCAGGAAGGCAGTGGCCTGGCTGTGGAAAGGAAGCTGGCACTGGGCCTTTCCTGGGAAACTGCCTGTGACTCTGATGACTTCAGTTCCAGCTCTGTCCAGATCACTGTTAATCCCTGGCCAAGCCCCTGAGTTGTGCTTCTCAGTGTCCACTCCCCAAAGCCTCTGTGGACAGACACAGATGGGCAGCGCAGAAGGGCAGGCCCAAGTGGGACAGGGACGCCTGCAGGTACCAGCGCAGCCATAGCACTGGGCGATTCCCTTCAGCAGTCCTACGATTCCAAGTCTATGCCCAGGCCCAGGGCACCACTTACCTCATCTCATTAAGGGAAGAGGGAGGAGCTGTTGCCTTCTTTGCCCTCCCACACCAGCCACAACCTACCCAAGAGTAGATGAGCAAGCCAAGGGCCTCACTCAGGTGAAGCTCAAGGCCACACAAAGCAGGAGGAGGTAGAAGAATCAGCAGGCATAAGACTGACTGAAGGAAACCCGGTTCTAAACAGACACAATAGCCCTAATGCCTCCCTGAGACTCTCCCATTCTCCCTCTGCCAGACAGTTCTGGAAATCAACAGGCTTTCCCAGGAGCCCAGGGCAGCTTTCATAGCGAGGTTATCCCCAGGAAGGGGAACATTACGGTAACAGTCAAGAAACCTGGCAAAGGCAAGGGCCAAGGAACAAAAGCCAGAATAAGGATAGGCACAGGTACCCTCAGGGCCTAGGAGGCTATCCTGAGAAGGCCAGCCTCACCCGTTCATGGCCCCTATACAACCATCTCCCCCAACCCAACCCTCCCCTCGGCTGCTGACAGCCTCTCCCCCTCCAGCCCCACAGCAGATAGCCAGTGGAATACAGCTCTCCGGAAGCTGACCAGCCAGGCCCTGGAGGCCCAGCATTCCTACACATCATGGGAAGGAAAGGGAAAGCAGTAGGAAGAGCAGGAGGTCCTTGTCTCACAAGAGCCTGGGCAGGAGGGAAAGGAAGCAGGGAGGACAGGGATGGGCAGGAGGCCTGGGAACAGGTCCCAGTCCCTCTCTTCTTTTTTGTCCACCCAGATGGACAGTCAAAAACTGGCCACACTTTGGTTATTTCCCCCAACTCAGGCCCTGCTTAGCACCCATCTTAGTAAACAGCCTCTCATCAAACAGAAAGAACAGAAGGTGGGTGGGAAGGGCGCCGGGTCAGAGAGGGCACAGGAACCTGGCCAGGGTGGCTCTGGTGGCTCAGCCTCTCCTAGCCTGATGTGACTGGATGGATGGGCAGCAGGCTCCCGAACTTGAAGTGCTGGATCACAGGGAACTTCTCCAGGCACTGAGAAAGGAGGGAAGACCAGGGAGGTGAGGCATGTTTTGCCTCTTGCATCCCCAGGGACCCAAACATGAGGGCTCAGACTAAAGCCCCCTCTATGGGGTATCCATCAATGCTCAAGAAGCCACCCAATCAGAGCAGCCCCTGGCCTATGAGGGCAGTCTTGTTTACCCTGGCCCTACCTCCCATTTAAAGGCACCCACACAGCACAAGCCAAGACAGGCAGCTAAGAGACGCAGAGGGGAAGCTGGCCATAAGAAATGGAAAAGATCCCAGGACCCCACAACCTCTATGACAGTCCTGACCCTGGAGGTGTGAGTACATCTGAAAACAACTGAGAAGAAGAGAGGGCCTATTTACTATAGTCTTCGGGTCTCTGGCCTAAAAAGGCATCTTGACTCTTCAGAGTGAGACAAGAGGAGTGGGCTGACACCAATGCCCCACCTTGGCAGCAGCCCCTGTGAATGTCAGGGCAATAGCATTGATGGTAAGGCAGAGAGATGGGGACTCCCTTAGCCCAGTTCAGACACCTGGCCAGGAGAAGTGGAGACCTACAGGCAGCCTGACCCCAAGCCCACAGCCCTATAACCTTCGCTTGTCACTAGCTTACTCCCAGGTAATAGCTCCAGCCAGGATGTGAAGATGGGATCTGGCAGGCTGGCCTGGCCTCTTCCTATACTTTGGCCTCAGAAACAACCCTCAGTGTAGAAGGGCTGTTGGGGAATAAGACTTACGGCCTCAGAAGAGGTAAGAGCCTGGTTCTGCCTGTGATGAAAGGAATAACCTGACTGGCTCAGCTTCCTTCACCCAGAAACCAGCTTCAGAACAAGGGAGGGACCCATGTAGGAGCAAGTAGAACAGAGACTGAACTCAAGTATAGAGCCAGGCCTGACAAAGAAAGTGGGGAGAAGGGAGGTGCAGCACGTCCCTTGGGGAGGAGCAGCATGTCCAGGCCTGAGGCAAGGCAGCTGCCATGGTGCTTATGTCATCAGGAAGTAGTAGGAGTTTGGAAGGCACCCCCTCCCACCCCAAGCCTGGAATTCCAGAAAAGGTCAAAGGTCAACCTGCCCTAAGCTCTCACAGAAGAGAAGCCAGAAAGGCAAGTGGGGGAAGGGCAGAGATCCTCCTCATTCTGCCCAAAGAACTGCCAGGAGCTCAGCTGCAAAGAAGCTGCTAGGGAGGAGGAAGTCCAAAGGCCTCAGGGTAGGAGAAGCATCCAGGAGGGCCTTTCTCTCAGCAAGTCTGCTTCAGGAGCCCATTCCCTCCAGACCCCAGCCTACAATCTAGGCTGGGTGGCCTGTGATCCAAAGAGAGAAGCAGTCCTCTCCAGATATAGTGATAGCTTTTACAACAGAAAGATCTCCACCACACAAGGCCCAGCAAGCCCCTGATACTTCTCTTCAAAAACCCAGGTCAGGCAACTTGACAGTTAATCAAGGCTGTCTAATACCAGGCTTGATCAGACCTCTGTTGGCAGCTCAGGGTGCCATGGCCTTGTACCTCAAAACTAGTAAGCCTTGGGCTGGAGAGATGGCTCAGTGGTTAAGAGCACTGTCTGCTCTTCCAGAGGTCGAGTTCAATTCCCAGCAACCATCTGGTGGCTCACAATCATTTGTAGTGAGATCTGGTACCCCCTTCTGGCATGCAGGTATACATGTAGGCAGAACACTATAAATAATCAATAAATAAATCTTTAAAAAGAAAAAATTAGTGAGCCTCAAGGGTCTTCCCTGTGGAGAACTGGGCTGAAAAAGTAGATCCTTTCCTGGATCCTCTGAGCAGCAGCTTATAGCACCCGCATTCTCAGAGCACAGTAAGAACTAGGAACTGCTGGGCAGTGGTGGTGCATGCCTTTAACCCCAGCACAGAGGCAAGTGGAACTATGAGTTTGAGGCCAGCCTGGTCTATATAGTGAGTTCCAAGACAGCCAGGGCTGCACAGAAAACCCTGCCTTGGGGAAAAGAGAGAGAGAGAGAGAGAGAGAGAGAGAGAAAAGAAAAGAGAACTGGATACTACAGAGCCTTGAGGTACTCATATCTGTCAGCAAGTTGCAGAATTACCCTACAAATATAGCCTGGCACAGATGGTCTGAGCCAGGGCAGGGGTCACCTCTGCTACATGCACCAGGTGACATGTCCAGTCTTCAGTCACACCACCCTTACAGTCAACAACTGCAGTTACCTAGCAATGCCTTTAGGCCCTGCCAAGGCCTGTGTGTTGTGCCTCCATCTTGTACCTTACATGCTCCTCCCTCAGCCTGCAGATCTGCCTCTGAAAGGCCTTCCTCTCAGGAGGCTGGGTCAAGCAGGCTTGGAGACACACAAGGCCAGCATTTAGGATCCTAAGTAAGGAGTCCTGCCTTTCATGTGTGTGTATGTGGAGGTGCTATATACTGACACTCTCCAGTAGCAGGGCAGTCTTTCTGGGGAGCAGCAGAAGTAAGACTATGGAGACAGGACCAAGGGTAGTGCCCCGGTCCTGGAGCTGGCAGATAGAGCAGGAAGAAGTCTGGGCAACTCCAGGAATGACCTCCTAGATGAGAGAGGCTCGTGAGCTGGTTGAAGTCTAAACACAGGATGTGAAGTCTAGAGGAAGAGCATCCAGAGGGGAGAACAGATGGCCAGGTCCAGGCCCAGACCTGGTCAGATCATGCTCTATTAACCCCTTCAGAGCCAATCCTAAGGCACCAGGCCAGGGGGAAACATTTGCACTACCAAATCCAGCTGGCCTCTTGGTCCTTCACCATTGTCCTGCCCCTGATAATGGATGGGATAAGCTCTGAGCTCAGTGAAGGAGACTCCTCCAGAAAAGGAGGGATAATGGTCAAGAATCAAAGATGGGCCGCTGCAGGACAATACCAAGGCTATTAGTGTGTATGTGCATGTGTATAGAGGGGGCACTTCTAGAACTCACGGCCCAGGAGGAACTACACAAGAAAGCCAAAGTGGAGTAGCTCCAGGATAATAAGTTTAAGTTATGGGAGAGGCCAAGCAGACAGGTAGAAAGATGTCCTCTCTCCTTTCTGTGGAGAGTATGGGAGGCCCTATGAAGACAGACATCTTTCAGTAGAAGACGCTCCCCAGCCCAAGGTCTTTCCCAGAAACAGAGTTATGAGCTGAAAGCAGAAAAGACCTACACTCTTCCCAAGCACCTGAAATGGTCACTAAATAATGCCAGTGACCTCCCCCCGCCCCACCCTCTTTCCAGACACCCTCTACAGCAGGACAGCTCACTTTGGATAGTGGTTCTAAGATCACACCTACCCCAAGGATGCCCTGATCACTTTGGGAGACACTTAGGCTATCAGAGCTCTGAGGGGCCTTGGGCCATTTGTCAGAGAGAAAGAGAATCCCTAACTTCTCCAGCAGCATAGGCTGTTTCAGTACCTTATGACTGCCCATCCATCATGTTTTGAGGCCCCACCCAGGTTTTAGAGAGCTGGCCCAAGGGCCAGAGCAAAACAATGTGGTAGGGAACCTGCAGTCCTAAACTCAACCCCAGGGCCAAGTGACAGCAGGGGAAGGCAGGCTGGCCAGACCCCACTCACCTCCGCCTTATACATACGGATGAGGCCCTGGTTCACTTTAGACCAGGAGGGGACAGCACTGATGTTCCAGAGCTGGTTGGAGTGCTCTGCAAAGGGGCCGGTCTTCATCTGGAAGAGAAAGTCCGGGAACTAGAGGCAGAGGCCAACTGGGGTCTCCGCTGCTCTCCGGCAGACATAGACTCTCACTCTTTCTCACATGCACTCATATACACAGACTCTCAACTATACACACATACTGTTTCTCTCTCCTCTCTCTCTCTCACACACACATTCTCTCTCACACATACACATTCATACACACACACTCTCAGTTTCTCTCTCCTCTCTCTTACACACACACATTCTCTCACACATACACACTCATTCACACACTCTCTCAAATACAGTTTCTTTCTCTCACACACACACATTCTCTCTCATACATATACACTCATACACACACTCTCAATTACACACATACTGTTTCTCCTTTCTCTCTCTCTCTCTCACACACACACACACACATACACACGCGTGCGCGCGTACACACACACACACACACACACAGTTTCTCTCTCCTCTCTCACACACATACAAGGAAGGGCTTAGGCTACATGGCCTGCTGGAAAAATAAACCCACTCTCACCTGCATCCTCTGCTTAGCTCTCTTTCACACACATAAAACAGAGGCTCCATTCCCAATACCTATCAAATTTAGCAACCCTAGGAAAACAGAATCTCCACCCTGGAAGAGTAGAATGTGTTCCCATCCACCCAGTAGAATGCTTGGTCTGTACCTGCCAGGCAGACCTCAGAGGACAAGAAAGGGGCTGTGGGGAGGGCCCTGGTGGATCTGCCCTCCGCACAGAAGACAGAGAGGGAAGAAATGAGTGGTAGGCAGGGGGGAGGCCTGGGCTCCAGAGCACAGGAGGAAGATTTGTTTAGCAAGGTCAAGAGAAGGACAGAAATAACAACAGCAACAAGATGAACAGAACATGGAACAGTCCATCGCTGTGGTTCTTCTTGCTCATGAAGCCAACTCCAGGAAGACAGAGAAGCACTACAGCAAGGCCAGTACAGTTCCTGTGACATCAGACCCACAACACGGGGAAAGGAAAGCCTGTGTCTTGGTGGATTCTGCCAGTGAGAGCAAGGCCCGTCCATTCATACCTATTAGCTATGCAGCTCAGCACGCTCTCCTCACTCCTTTCCCACTTTACAGGCAGCAGTGAGGGGCAGGGCTCAGCTTCCAGGCCCACGTTACAGAGAAAGACCGAAAAGCAGAGGGGCTGAGCCTGGCAAGGAAGCGAGGAGTGTAAGGTGCCAGAAGCCATGCACGGAAGTGGGGGGTGAGGTGGGGGCTACTCTGAGAAGAAAGGACAAGCCCAAACTTTGAACATAGGGGTATCACAGGCCACGTTAGTGCTGTGGCTTCACCTGGTGGCCCACTCCCACAGGCCTCTAATTCAGTAAGAGCAACTTCTAGACTTAAAGAGAAATGCTGCCTTTTTCCCTATCACCTCCCTCCCCTGGCAAAAATCCCCAGTGAGAGCCAGTCTCACTGGCCCTCCCCAATGCTGAGGTGACACCAGGCTTCCAAAGCCAGCCCAGCTCCCTACCAGGCATTTGTGGAGTTTTTCCTAGACCAGGACCCAAGAGAGGCAGGCAGAGTTTATAGGGCCCTCAGCTTCCTGAGATTTACCCGAACTCCACCCTCGGTCCCTACTCCCCCACGCTCATTTTGTACACTTGCAGGCTAGAGGCATGGGACTGTGGGAGCTGGGAAACAGAGTCTCCTCCAGAGACCCCTTGAGAAAACTACCAGCTGCTTTGTCTCACAGCAGGTGCTCCAAGGCCTGCTCAGCAAGAGCGCTGGGAAAAAAGACAGATAAAGGGACACCAAGACTCCGCCTGCGCCTGCGGGTCCAGCCTCACTCACCAGCAAGGGACATTCTGAAAGGGAGGTGTGGCAGGCTGCAGAGCCAGAGGGAGGCCTGAGAGTTGTGCAGCCCAGTAAGTCCCTAGAGAGGCCAACCCCACCCCCAGGCCTTCAGTGCCTCAGGTCTCCCAAGTCCTTCAGAAGGAGGTTCTGCAACTCAGAGACAGGAAAAAAAAAAAAGAGAGAGAGAGAGATGAGGAGGAAAAAAGAAATTGGGGATGAGAAGACAAAAAAAAAATTTAGCTCATTCTAGCCACAAAGGGAGAAGAGAAAGAGCGAGAACAAGCAAGCAACTGCAGTCCCGCAGTGACCCCAGGGGAATCGTGTGAGTCAGAGCAGCCATATTGAGCAGGAAATTACTCACAGACGCTGCGTTCCTGCCTCTCCACTCCCCAGAGAATCGGCCTTTTGTAAATGGTTCCTCTGTCAGTAACTGAGGGGGATGGGCGGGGGTGGGGGAGGCTCAGCACAGCGCCTTCCTGTCAGCTCCTTCCCTTCCAGCTGAAATCTGATCCCTCCCTTCCCAAAACTCCAAATTTAGAAGCCAGATTGAAACTGAAATTCTTTTCCTGCCTGCCCTGGGCTCTTAAAGGCGCCAGGGCTGCATTTCCTGAAGCAGTAGGAGCCCTGCAAGGTGGGCTTCCTCGCTGTCATGCCCAGGGCTATCAAAGCAGTCCTGACACAAGGCCCAGGAAAGAAGAGAAGTGGTATCCTTCCCAGCTTCCTTGGGAGGCAACAGTGCCAGCTTCCTGACCAAGGCTTCCAGGTTGCTGTGCCCCAGGGTTTGGGTGACCTAACCCACTTACTGATCAGGGGTCATAAACCGCTGCCTACTTCATGAAGTGCAGGGGTGGGACATACATATCTGTGAAACAACAAGAGGGTGTTGCAGCAGCAGCAACCCCAGGCAGGCAAAAGGCCTTGCTACCAGAGTGCCTAGCAACCTACCAGAGCTTGACCCAAAGAGCCTAGAACCAAGAGAAAACCAAGCCTTGTACCACAGCCAAAGTGCTACCCCTCCCACTTCCCACCTCAGTTACTGAAGCCACCAGAGTTTGGTGTGCTGTCAGCGCCACCTTGTGGTTACTTTGGGCTACCTTCTATAGGGTCCTCTCCCAAACTTTCTGGGGTTTTACACCAGCAGGAACAAATAAACAAAAACCACACTAAATCCTAGCATGAGATTGATTCCCGGTCCCTGAAGCCCAGCCTGGCCTGCCTCCTTGTTAGAATTATTGACAGGGACACAAGGGGCTTAACCAGCCACCTGGGGAAGCAGAAACAGCTTAGGCTTTGGCCTCAAGCAGCCAGCTCCAGAATCTGTGGCTCATTCCTTCCCTTCTCACCCTAGATTGTCCCCAGACCCATGCGCCACGCTGAAGTCCTGCAAAGATGGCTTTCAAGGCAGTGAGCCAGGTTGCTCCCAGGCCTTCTGACCTTGAGCCTGCCACACTGCTGAAGGCAGCATATCCCTAAGAACCAAGTAGTGGCCGCCCAGGCGTCAGTCCTAGCTCCATTTGCTGACTTGGAAAAAAATGTGTCATTCCCTCTGGCCCCTGGAGCTTGGCACAAGCCTCAGGCGAATGCTGACCAGAAGGAACTCAAGAGTCAATGCTGCTAACCAGGCTTTTCCCTAACTCAGAAGTTCAGAATAAAGAGCAATACTCCTCCATGGGTAGGAGACCATGTATAATTCCACAGAGCAAACATACAAAGAGAAAGAGAAGACAGACAGACTGTAAGTTTGGGATGAGAGTTTACAGATATAGGTAGAGAGAATGAAAAGTTCTAACACATCCTAGAAGCAAGGCCCTGAGACTCTGTGTCCCGATGAATTCCTGGCTCTTATCCACAAGATTCTAAGAGAAAAAGCTGGCATGGGCCCAAAGCCATGAATTTTTAGTCCCTGGGCCACCTTGAGGAATGTTCCAGCACCATACTATAGGGTGTGGTGTCAGGGTGTCTGGGTGACAAGAGCATCCAGTTATGGAATCTGCCAGATGGTGTAGGGCCATTTCCTGCCACCACAGGCTGCTCTTTTTCCCCTCTAGCACATTGCTGAAGTACAGACAAAGTCAGAGAGCTAACCACTCACATCACTTCAGCTTCTCTTAGGATTTCAGCACATGGCTCTAGAGACCTCATTGGGCCCTGATGGACAAAGCCACCACAATGTCTGCCACCCTTTTAAGCCTGCTGCCTGGTCACCAAGTCTAGCTAAGGACTACAACTTAATCTATCAGTCAAGAGCCCCGTGGATGAGTGCAGCACCTTATTTTGTAATCCCAAGCAGTGAGGAGGCTGAGGCAGGAAGACTGTCATGAATTTAAGGGCAGCAGAGTAAGAGTCTAACTCAAGCCACACGATGAAGAGTCCCCGGGGTCTGGGAGAAGGCTGGCCGCAGAGGCTGGCTCCCAGAGGCTGGTGTGGCTCTCACCTCAGTGATGAATAGGATGCACTGCAGGAACATGTAGTCTTTGTGGTTCTCGCTCACCGCCTTCTCATCCACAAAATGTCGGGGCTCCAGGTGGGGATGGTCTGGGAAAAGTGAGGCCTGGGATTCAGAGCAGCCCTAAGCAGCTCAGAACAAGGTACCCAGCAGACATTTCACAATGGTGGAGTGTCTGCCTAGTGCACCACCACAATGGGACTGACAGATCCCTGTCAGCTAGTGAGGTGCCCACTGTTCACAGCTAGCCACCGGGCATGCACCTGTGGCAACAGGGGCACACAAACCTGATGTGCTACCAGTCAGCAGAGGGGCTAGACACACTCGGGTGCCATGAATCCCTTAGCCACACAGCTCTGGTCCTGACTCGCCAGCATAGCCTCTGCTCTTTAAGCACCGCTGGACGGTGTACACCTCAGAGGTTCCCTCAGCTGCGTGTGGTGGTGGACACCTTTCTTCCCAGCACTCAGACAGGCTAAGGTCCAGGACAGCCAGGGGGAGAAGTGCCTCTAGTGGAGCTGTGTGCACACTCACTGTGTCAGGAAGATGCCATGGTGAGGAAAGCACACACTACAGTGCTCATGCAATGAAAGTGCGCAGCTATGCACAGGAGCTGGAGGACTGTGCCCCAGCAAACCAAATTCAGCTCAACACATGGCAGTGAGACCCCGGATGGATGGATCCAGCCTTTCTGCAACTATGAAGCAAGACTGGAATCTAGCACGCACGGCCGAATGCATGCACCCTGCCAGATGCTGGGCCACACTAGGCATGGGTATCTTCCTGGTCCCTGAGAAGACTGTGGAGGATGTGCCTAGAATGGCAAGGTCTCGGCCATGAGGCATTTGTGAGTATTAATTAGTAGCAGCTCATTCTCCATGGAACTAAAGATGATCACTAACCCTGCCCAACGGCAGACCCCAAGATGTCAGCATGCCTGGGTGGTCATTTCAAAGTGAGGAGCATGACAGAGCAGACCTGGGAAGCACACAGGAAGCAGCACTTGGCAGCAACTCCCCATCGCAACCCCTGTGCAGAGCTCCACTGGAACAGTGGATGACACTCACGAGCACCACATCAAAAGAGCCCCATAGTTCAACATGAGCCCCACAGGAGTGGGCTGCCTTCCCCCCCAGTCTGTTATGCACCGAGTACATGCCTGTGGCTCCAGTCCATGTCACTTTCCATTATTTTAGTGGCATCCCACCTTCACCTCCTCTAGCTGGCCACACTGACTCAAAGCATTAAGTCAACAGCAAACAGCCTCTGTCAGTAGCTGGTCTAATGTCCTGTTCTACAAGCTGTCATTGTGCGTCCTGGGCAAGAGGAAGGGAAAATGACAGACTGGGGGAGCACAGCTGCACCGTGGGGTGCAGGGAATAGATGTGACCACCCGCTAGTACCTATGAGCTGTGAGCTGCCCCAGATGAAGGGCAGGAACTGGAAGTCATCCAGACCCCACACGCCCTGGCTGCCTGCAGGCTCCATTCTGTACGTCTTCTGCAACTTCCGCATAACCTCAAGATACCTGTGCAGGAGGGGCAGGAAGAAGAAAGGTGAGAAATGGCATTCTTCAGCACAGGAAGGGTAGAGAGAATGGTGAGGCTGAAAGAGCCAGTGGGGCTTTTTTCTTTTCCCCTCATATGTCTTCTGTCAGGGAAAGGGACAGAATGCCACCTGGAAACCAAGCTTACTGTCATCTACCCCTACCAACTTGTAGTACCTCAGGTTAGCCCTTTCTCTAACCTCAGGTCCCTTTGGAAGAGGGGTAAAGGCACAGATGTCAGACGCTGGAAGCTGTGTCCTGGGGTCACCTGCAGAGCCATACCTGTGCCTCAAGAGCAGCACACCAGTGTGCCGGGGGACTGCACAGCCCAGAGCAAGTCTCTGCACATTTCTGCTGCCCAGAAGAGTGCCTCCTGCCTGTGGTGCACTGTGACCTCAACAGAGACCTGTCTCTTTCCTCTTCTATAAGAGGGAGGCAGCTGCTACTGAACAGGGCTGTGAAAATTAACCGGGATGGGCAACCTCAGAGCTGTGCCTCCATGTGGTGAACACCACAGGTGCCACATGCCACCTCCTCCACAAGCCGCCGCCACTCACCTATCAAACACCTTGAAGACAATAGCCACCTGGTCATCCACCCGGAGCACGCCAATCTTGCAGAGACAACAGAGGAAAGCAGCAAAAGCAGCCTCGTGTCCTGAGGAAGAAAACAGTCAACACCAGCTGACATTTCCCGGAATTGGCCCAGCACCCAGCTCGTTTGAGCAGGAAGCCCCATACTGAGGTGGAGGCTCCTGTCCAGAGTACTGGCACTCTTCCTGACTTCCTGCACAGGCCCGGGCATCTTACTCTATAGGTCTGAGCATCTACTATGTGGGCACTCACTACCCATGCTGGGTCCCAGGAACAAATAAGTCCTTGCCTCAAAGAGCTCACCATCTGTCAGAGACCACAGACATTAAACATCCAGGTACAACTTTGTTTGAGTCTAGCTATGCGCGAGACAGGTAGGTAACTGAGGCACATCCCAGGGAAACCAACTTCAGAGTTCAAGGTTTTCCCCTTAGGAAATAATGTTTGAAATGAAAGAGGAATGGGAGATGGCCAGCAACAAGGACCATTGGAAATCATTTTAGCCAGAAGCAACAGCATACAAAGGGCCAACACAAGTAAGCAGTGCCCTCAGCAGAGGGCAAGAGAGAATGCTCTGACCAGATGGGTCTCCCCAGACACGGGAGGAAGCTTGCCTGAGAGCACTGGGAACACATGGACAGACTACAAGCTAGAAGGTACCCTCCTTTCTCTCCAGTCACATCCACCAGCAACAGTCAGCTCTGCAGAGAGCACCAGCTGGGCCTGCTCCTTCTGAGGTACATAACCAGGTGTTCCCAGCTGTTTCTACAGCATGGGAGCCCACCAGAATCTGGAAGCACATACGCTGTTATGCTCACCCACAAACCTTCAAACTACACTCAGGGTGCCCACTGCCTAGAAATCCTTTTCTAGTTGGGTCTTCTGGTTTTTTGTTTGTTTGTTTTTTCGAGACAGGGTTTCTCTGTGTAGCCTTGGCTGTCCTGGACTCACTTTATAGACCAGGCTGGCCTGGAACTCACAGAGATCCACCTGCCTCCCAGAGCACTGGGATTACAGACATGTGCCACTGTGCCCAGCTCCTAGTTAGGTCTTAATCAAAGCTACACACATCCCAGTGTTTCTGAACTGTTCCCAGAGGCAGGCAGAGAAACGAACAATGTTCTCCAAGGCTCTGGATCCAGAGGAACCTTAGCCAGCACGTGCCTGAGACTAGGCTCTCTCTGACCCTCTCCTTCTCCAAGCAAGTGGAAGGTAGCACATCTCCCACATGCCTACTTTAAGGAGAAGAAGAAAGGATGCCCTTACCCCAGCAAGGTCCCCTGGACTATAGAGGCTGTTCTGACCTAGAGAACACTTCTCTTGGCTGAAATGGATGACAGAGCCAATGATCATCAGCATGAAGAAAAGAGCTGAGAGACAAGAGATGTCAGGGAGAGAGTGGGCTATCAAAGGTCTTCTCTCAGCTGCCTTGAGTAAATTATCACTAAAGGGATGAGGAGCTTAAGCGGCTTCATAATCAACTGAAACCAGTTTCAAGCAGGTGCCATGTCTGTGGCAGTAGTGCCACCTGGTGGAATAAGATACACACACACACACACACACACACACACACACACACACACACTGCTGGACACACTCCCAAACCCATACCCACATCCACCCTGCTGATGGACACACACACAAAACAGGGGCCTGACTCAGAGGACCCCAAGACTGTGTGGAACACAAAGACATCAGCTCAGGCAATGTGAAGAAAGCAGCAAGGTCCCAATCACCCAGAGGTCCCAGCAGCAGATACCTGTGCCATAGTCAATGCGTGTGGAGTTCCCCACAGCCTCCTTCAGGTAAACTGCCACTTCAGGCACAGCAGCTGCCAGGTGGGGGGGGGACCACTGTGGCCACCAGGTTTTCTGCTTCCTGATAATATAAGAGACACACAGTGGTGGTAGCAGATTAGGCAGCATACGGGTGAGCAGGCACCTAGGGGCAGCATCTATCTGGGGGTCCAGGCTGCCAGACTGGCCTACTTCCCAGTTCTCACTGGCCAGAGAAAGGGGAGGGGCAATAACAGAAAGACTCCTGGGGTGACTCTTGGAGCAAGACAAGAGATCAATTCTCCCAAAGACCCATAGAAATCATGGAGCATCAGGCCTATTATCCTCCTAGTTGTTGGTTTGACTCCCAGGATATAAGTGTAGCCCTTAAGTCTACCATGACATACACAACAATGTTCCAAACAGCATTATTTGTAGTAGCCAAAACATAAAAATTCAACTAGAATGTCCCAAAATAGCAGAATGAATAAAACTGTACATAGTTCTGCAACAGAATACTACACAAAAAAGTATATGCCACAAGTGACAACATGATGAATCTGACGCATATAACATCAAGTAAAGGAGGCTACACAAACATGAACTTCATGCAGATAAGGAGCGTAAGAGAATCTGGGGATATCCACTTCCCCTAGTTAGGGGGGTGGGGCTTGCCAGAGAGCGGGAATCTTGTGCAATACGATTGGGTGGTGAGTGTACTAAAAAACACAAAGATTCACCAAGGTGTAAGGCTACTGTCAGCTTTCTTCTAAGTTCTAATTTTAATCTTCTGTAAAACCAAGGCCATGTACCACCAGAGTCCAGAGGCAGCCTGAGGCTACTCCTGGGACAGCAGCATGCTCACAGAGAGACACTGACAGACTAGCAGGGATCACATCTCTCTAGGCTGGAGCTTGTGGGCATCTCTGCCACAAGCCCTGCCTGGCCCTGCGAGGGCTGCTACTCTCCACAAAAGCCCAAAGCTGTATTCTCCCACATACTCCAAAAAGGGAGCTTCTTCCTAAGACTAAAACTTCGGGGTGTGAGGGTACACAGGAGCCTCACTTCTTCCCTCTTTCCACTGCCCTCAACAGCACAGGGCTAGGGGTGTGGCACCATACAAAGCACTCTATGAACTTCCCTCAGAAATGAATTACAAATCAATTGCATTTGTGAGTTTTTGGCAGTGCTCTCCTCTGCTGTAACACACGTCACTGCAGCCTTGGTTCTGGACACACAACATGCATCTGTGTACCATGCATGCTGTCGTGTATGCCATCATGTTACACAACACCACTGAGCCCTGACTGACACACCCAGGCTCAGATGTTGGGACGCTGGTCTGTTGTGAACTCAGGGCTTTCTCTGCACACAGCAATCTCTAATACAAACATAGTGGCTTAACTACAGAAAACAAAGACTTCTAATATTCCTGCTGCCACCAATCAAATTAATGTATCTCTAGACTGTGAGAGATGCTCGGCTGTTTTTAAGATTTCGTTTACACGTATGTGTATGCCTCGTAGCATATGTGTATCATAGGCATGCAAGTGTCCTTGGAGTCCAAAAGAAGGTGCTGCAGTTACAGGGAGTTGTGACCCAGTGTTGGTGTTGGGAACTGGACTCCATTCCTTTCATTCCAATACTCAAGAGGAAAAAGGGTCTCTGTGAGTTTGAGGCCAACCTGGTCTACAGAACAAGTTCCAGGACAGCCAGCATGAACTAGAAAGACTCTGGCTCAAAAGAAAATCTGCTCTTAACTGCTGAGCCATCTCTCCAGCCACAGAGATTATTTAATTTTAAAAATTTGAGTTGCCAACCTGAGTTTTTAAAAAAAAAAACATACATACACACACACACACACACACACACACACACACCAAAACAACAACAAAAAAATGGTGAATAGGTTCTGGCTTGGGATTAAAAGAGATTATTATAGTTTGCTTCTCTGTTGCTACAATAAACACCAGGACCAAAAGAACAGAAATGGTACCAGGAGTTGGGTGTTGCATCAGTGGACCTCACCAAGTTTTGTTAGAAGTTTGGGGAAGTGTTTGAAACTTTGAGTTGGAAAAGAAATCAAGTGCTCAGAGCTTAATCGGCTATTGTGTGGGAGCTTGGAAGGAAGCTGAGAGAAATGCAGACAGTGGAGACCAGGCTTGTGAAGTTTACAGAAGCAGATTCCATAGAGGCTGTTCAGTGATTTTCTGCTCAGAGGGTGCTGAGGATTCCACTGTGATTAGTAAGAGATCAGCAGCACTGAGAAGAACTCCTCTGGGAAATATTTCACCAGGGCTGATGGACAAAAGCTGTGGTCCTGGGGGCACGGCTGCACCTCAAGCTGAAAGGTGAATCTGGCAATGTGTAAGAGTCTCTATATGGTTCAATTCTGAAGGCATGAAGGAGTCATGGAGGAGAGAAGCTAAGGCTTAACAGCAACCGGTGAGGTCAGGGTCCCTGCAGCTCTTTCTGACGGTGCAGCCTCCACTGTGGTAGAAACTGCAAAGATGGCTTTCAAGGCAGTGAGCCAGGTTGCTCCCACAGGACAGTGGGAGGTGGGAGGTGGGGCCAAACTGGCCTAAAACCAAGCTATGTGCACTGCAGATGGCAGTGCTGGAGAAGCAGGGCTTCCCAGGGCCCTGGGACCCTAGAAGCTCATATGTGAATTCCAAAGTTAGAAGCTGAGGTTTCTACACTGTTGAATTCTGGCTTCGCTTTGACTTGATCATTTAACTGTACCTTGAGCTTCCTCCTGCTTGAAATAAAAAAGTAGATACTTGTTTGGGTTTTTTGTTTGTTTGTTTTATTTAAATTTTATTTTTATTTTATGTGCATTGGTATTTTTGTCTGTATGTATGTCTGTTTGGGTGTCAGAGCTTAGAGTTATAGATCTTGGAGTTGTGAACTGCCATGTGGGTGCTGGGAATTGAACCCCGGGACCTCTGGAAGAACAGTAAGTGCTCTTAACCACTGAGCCATCTCTCCAGCTCCTTATTTGTTTATTTTTTTATTTTTATTTTTATTTTTTTTTTTATAGGAGTCCAGTTAAGACTCAGATTTTAAGGAGAACTTGGACCTTTTAGGTATTAAGAGCTTTTTATAGACTGTGAAACTTCTTAAAGTTATTTTGTTCTTGTTTTTTGTTTGTCTTGGTTTTTCAAAACAGGATCTCACTATGTAGCCTTGGCTGGCTTGAAACTTGTTATATAGACCAGGCTGCTCTCAAACTCACAGAATCCACTTGCTTCTGCCACCCAAGTATGGGGACTAAGGGTGTGTGCCACTATGCCCAGTTTCCTTACTCTTTTTCATAGCGACATAGTATTCACAGTGTGGATGGGCAGTTAACTGACCCTCTTATAATGGGAACCTCGGTCAATTCCAATCTGCTGCCAATAAAATGACTTCATAAGTGGCCTCATACAGGAGACTATGGAACCACACCTACAGTTCCCAGAAGACTGGCTGGGACAGAGGATGATTTTATAATCTCGGTAAATAAAACTACCATTCTGACAATTTCCCTGATTTTATGCTTAGAAAGGGAGACAGGCCAGCTTTGAACACAGATCTTGCCCCATCTGGAACCACAGCAGTCCTCCCACTAGCCTGCCCAGCCCATGCTCTGACAGTCTCACCTGATCAAGTTTGGCATACCAGGTCCTGTAGGCCTTGTTCCCAAATCGGGAAGGCTGGTCCACTGGTGGGGTTTCATCAATCCATCTATCCAGCGTATCAAGAAGAGCCACCAGTTTCTCAATGGCCTGTGAAGGTGAGACAGAGGAACCACAGCACAGTGACTGCTGGCCCTACTGAAGCCACAGAAAGAAGTCCCCTAAACTGGCTGCTCTCCTAGCTCTCCCCCCATTCCCAACTGTTCTGAATATGAAGGAGGGTCAGGGAGCGACCTTCCCTTCAGAGAGGGAATCACACTTGGCTGACAGGACTGTCATGGGTAATTCCAACTATTTCTTCAGCCAGCATAACCAAGAGGGCCACTAGATAGACATGAACCCCAACCCCAATCTTTGTTCCAGCAGACATGATTGAAGTCTTTCACTGAACAACACGAACACACAAATGGGAGAGAATGGAAATGCAGTGTGGAGCTTCAGCTCTGTCAACCTGATGCATGCAGCTAGTCATTCGGGAAAAGAGAACCTTAACTGAAAAAATGCCCCACTAGATTGGCCTATAGGCAAGCCTGTGGTGCATTTTCTTGATTGATGATTGATGTGGAATGGCCCAGCTTACTGTGGGTGGTGCTAGCCCTAGAAAGGTACTCCTGGATTCTCTAACAAACAGGCTGAGCAAGCCATGAGGAACAAACTAGTAAGGAGCACTCTTCCATGGCCTCTCCTTAAGTCCCTGCCTCCAGGTTCCTGCCCCGACTTCCCTCAGCGATAAACGGTGACCTGAGACTTGTAAGCTGAAATCAAACCTTTCCTGTCCAAAGGTGCTTTAGGTTATGGTGCTTTTTCACCACAATTAGAAACACTAAGGCAACCTTTACTGTCACCATGACCCAGGTTAGAACCACTGTAGAAATATCCCTCTGTGTATATCTGAGGACTGTTTGCAGATGGTTTGACTGAGGAGGAAGACCCGGCCTGAGTGTGGGTGGCATCACCCTAGAGGTGGGATCCCAGACCAAATAAAAGAATAAAAGGAGAAAGCTAGCTGAGCACCAGTCTTCAACTTCTGCCTCTGGACTGTGGGTACATGTAAACAGACTCCTCACAGCCTTTTGGCTTGTTATGGCTTCCCTGCCATCATGAGCTGCACCTCAACTTCCAGCCAGGACAACCTCCTCTCTTAAACTGCTCCTGTCAAGTCCTGATCACAGCAACAAGACAAGCACCTAATACAGCCAGCAATCCTGATCGCCACAAACAACCGCTACCCACATCTTAACACCTGGCTTGTTTTCTCTAGTATGCTCTGCCACTCAATACTGTAAGAACCCTACAGACAGAGAGGCCTGGCTCCAACCCTCCATTAAAACTGCGCTTCTGTTTCTTCATCCCAAATGTGAGGGCAAGGGTCTATAGATACCTCCTAAGCTCAAGAGCCTGCCAGAAAGCACAGTGGTATGGAAGGAGGTTCCGGGGGAGGACACTGGCTAAGGCCGCTGTCTATGGTCCTATTTCAGAGTCTGCAGGCTAAGTGTCCCATTGCTGCCTGGCTGGCTCTTGAGCCTTAGGGCATATACACAGACCTTTGCCCCCACGTTTGGGATCGTAAGTGCTGTGTATCTGCAGTAAGGAGTGGGCTAACTTGAGATAGCTGCTGGCCAGCATCTCTAGCTGCTTGGACTCAGAAGACAAACATGTATGAGCCTGTTCTCTGGCTATAGAGCATAACAAGGGCCGAATGCTGCCCTCCTCACCTCCTTTACCTATGGCTGGGGCATGGGATGAAGACAAGCTGTGTGTAGGCTGAGGCAATAGGTGGTGTGGCATAAAGACATCTTGCTGAAATGTAACAGCAAGGGTTCCCAGACACAGTCAGGCTTTGTGAGGAATCAGGTCAGTAGGAACGGCTGCTGAGAACAGACGAAAGCTCACTTTACATAGCTACTGGGGCTTGCAGGAGGATGGGACATCTAACTTTTTTCTTTTTTTTTTTTTTTCCGAAGATTTATTTATTTTATGTATGAGTGCTCTATCTGCATGTACACCTCCACACCAGAAGAGGGCATCAGATCACATTATAGATGGTTATGAGCCACCATGTGGTTGCTGGGAATTGAACTCAGGACCTCTGGAAGAGCAGACAATGCTCTTAATCACTGAGCTATCTCTCCAGCCCGGATGGGGCATCTTAGCCCTAGGAATAACTAGGCTCCCTGGAGATTCTCTGCTGATGGTCCTGACAAGGCACTAAAGGTGAAAAAGAATGTGGCTCCAGAGGCTGGTAGGCTCAGCTTGGCCAGTGGATAATTAAGAGTCTCATAGCTACTCCTGGTAGGGCTTTTGAACTCAGGGGGCTGCCTCCACTGTCTGGTCTGCTAAGAGAGAAGGGCTGCAGAGGTAAGCAATCCGGGACTGGAACTACCTCACCCCAAGGCCTAAAGAATAAATTGTACCCCTCCCATCCCCATAGCACTGCATCTTGAACTTCATGGACCACTAAAATATTCTCTAAAATTGTACTTATAAACTTCTCATTCTGCCCCTTAGTATATTAAAAACAAAGGCAAAAGAAATAACAAAAATAAGGTGTGGTAGCAAATGCCTTTCATTCCAGCACTCAGGAGGCAAAGGCAGGTAGAGCTCTGTGAGTTCAAGGCCAGACTGGTCTACATAGTTCAGTACAGGCCAGATTAAGACTAGAGAGACCCTATCTCAACACACAGACAAACAAACACCTACCTATCTAGCACTCATTAAAAAAAAAATGACCTCCCTAGCACTAGCATGGGTACAATCTAAAGAACATGTCATCATGGGTCTAGATAAAGTGTCTACCTCGCTATGGTTTGTCCTCTGCTGCAAGCTGCATGGAAGTCACTAGTCTAGGTCCCTCCACTCTCTTGTGTTGTACTGAGAGGATACAGGAGCTCTGGCAGTTGTGCCAAGTGGTACAACTATATACATCCATGGCCATATGCTATGACTGGTACCTTGTGCTGTTCCTGCCAATTTGGGAGACTTCTGGGGAGCAAATCAGGTATGGCTGTACACCCAGAGAGGCAGGCATAGGGATGGACCAGCTCAGGAGGGACCCCAGCTAATGCAACAACATTTGATGGAAAGTTAGAGCCAAGTGAACCTATTGATATGAGAAGTTAACAACAAGAAAGACACTTAGCCTGTGCTAAATGCCTGTGCTAAATGAGACTCCAGTGGCTACCCACCTCACATCCTATACCCTGAGGGCCAGCCACTCTACAGAGGGACAGTAAGGGCAAGAAGAAAGCTGGGTGGTGACGAAGACTATTACCCCAGTACTTGGAAGGCAGAGGCAGGAAGATCACAAGTTTGAGGCCAGTGAGTTCCAGGCCAGCCAGGGCTAAAACAAAACCCTACCTTAAAAAAAAAAAAAGAAAAAGAAAAAGAAAAGGAAAAATAAAAAGAAAGAAATAAAGAGAAAAGAAAAAAAGAAAGAAGAAAAAGAAGCCAGTCTCAAGGGACAGAACTGGAGATGGGGATCTGGTTCAGTGGTAGAGCTCTTGCCTGGCATGTGCAAGAGTGCTGGGTTCTATCTCATCTCCAGCACTGGAAAAAAAAAAAAAAAAAAAAAAAAGAGGAACAGAGCCACTCAGCTAGGAGGGGATGTGCTGGCAAACCCTCTTAGCCCGAAACACGGTATGATCCTGCCAAAAGAACAGCCTCAGCCAAGGCAACACTGATCAGTGACACAACTCCCACATAGCCTTGGGGACAACTGATGACCCAAGGGGGTTGGCAGCTCAGTACTCGATGGGGTAATTATTGCACTCTCCCTAATTAGCCCCCTTTATGTTCCCAGCACACTGGGCAGTGCTGAGCACATCCAGCCAGCCTATGCCCAAAGCCACAAGCCAAGAAGAGCCCACACAAGGAGTGACTTGTGGGGCAGCTCTCAAACTGTATCTCCTCAGTGAAGCCCATCTAACAGAAAGAACCAGACTATGCCATCCAGAAGCCAACAAGGGCCAAGAAGTGACTGTCCCAGGGACCTGGAATGAGGGCTAGAAAGAGGGTAATCTTAACCTAAGACAGATGAAGAAACTAAGCCAAGCCAATGCCAGGCCTTACCCAACAGGCCCCAACTGTAACCAGAGGGCAGAGAACCAAAGAGCTGAAAGGTCTCTCAGGCACTTGTGTCAAGATAAGAGGCTCAGGGTGGCTCTCGGCCAACTGGGACATGAACCCCAGAGGCCACTGGAGGCCTGGAACCTAGTTCTGGGAGATGGCATTGCACCAGCATGAAGAATGGAAGACTACACCCTCCAATAGTCGAGGTGGGTGGCTGGCCACCTGTCATCCCCCAGCTCCGTCTTTCCCACATAACCAAGTCTGTCTCTAAAACAACCAGAGCATCTATTACACTGAAGGAACCCAAAAGCAAGAGCCTAACTGTGCTCTCTGCTCAGTATTTCTAGTAGGAATGAAGCCTGAGGAAACTGAGGCCACAGATCTGCTTGTTAGATGCTCAGAGCAGCAGTGCCAGGGATGCAGCTGGAAAGCTGGGACTGTTTAAACAAACGACGGACGCTTTCAATAGGGTGGCATTATGCCACAGACAGGAGGTGTGCCTGAGCACTGTTGCCGAGGCTGCCCTGGGAAGCTGGGGTGCTGGGGTTTAACTCAGGGCCTAATGCATGCCAACAATGCACTGGGTCTACAACCAAACTGCAGCCCTAGCCCTAGTTTGGTTTTTACTGATGCCAGACGCGCTTCTGCTTATCATCTCGCCACGGAATTCAGCTACCTCCTCTGCTTTTTTTTTTAAGCACTGGGCATGGAACTTCAGGGCTGTGCATTGCTAGGCAAACCCCTGGCCACTGACCCACATCTCCAGCCCCTTCTGTCATCTTTAATTTCAAGTTTAATTTTTAAAAAAATTAGAAAAAATACAGATTATAAGGCAGGGTAGTGCATGCCTTTAATCTCAGCACTCGAGAGGCAGAACTCTGTCAGTTCCAGGCTAGCCTAGTCTACAAAGCAAGTCCAGGACAGTCACGGCTGTTACACAGAAAACCCTGTCTTAAAAAAATAAAAACAAAAACATATTAAGATTGATTTCAGTTATGTTTTATTCATAGATTTATAACATTAAGACTCCAGCTCCCTTTTTAAAAATTATTTATTGTATGTATGAGTGCTCTATCTGCACGTACACCTGCATGCCAGAAGAGGGCATCAGATTCCAGTATAGCTGGCTGTGAGACACCATGTGGTTGCTGGGAATTGAACTCAGGATATCGGGAGCTGGAGAGATGGCTCAGAGGTTAAAAGCACTATCTATTCTTCTGCTCTCAAGAGCTCCTGAGTTCAATTCCCAGCAACCACATGGTGGCTCACAACCACCTATACTGGAATCTGATGCTTCTATCTGGCATGCAGGTGTACATGCAGATAGAGCATGCACATATATTAATTAAAAATAAATAAATAAAGCATTAGGACTTTGGGCTACAAATGGTAATAGCACTGTTCTGGGGCAACCTATCGTCTGCACCTGCCTGCTTCTAGATGATGGGCCTGTGTGGCGCTGCAGCAGGCTCCCTGCCTGTGCCTACCTCAGAGACTTTGTAGTCGTAGGTCAGCTTCTTCCCTTTCACACCTTCATTGAGGGTAAGGATAAAGCCAATGTAGTCAGCATATGCCTGCCAAACAGAGAGTAGGAAGAGGGTGTCAGATCTCATCTGCCCCAGCTCCACCCAAGCTGCCCAGTTCCCACTCCCAAACCAGCACCAGAAGTAGACATACAGTACCAATCACATGTCCTCCCCAGCACTAGAGCCAGCAATGCAGCACTCACAATGGCTGCCAGCGCTTTCTTTAGACAGTCTCTCACAGGAGACACTACTGTCACCAGCCACTAATACAACTAAGACTTCAAGGGAGAAGGAATCTGCTCATACTTTTCCAGGATTTCATTAGACATGGAGCTGGGCCCCTGCTAGCCGACCTGTACACCTGGAATGTCTGACTACTACTCTGAGTGAGCAGGAGTTTAAGAAATGCCCCCAACTCCCTTCCTCAGATCACCTTCCAGCTATCTCCCAGGTCAAGAAGGTAGCTACAGTGCAGAACCTCTGCCTCCAGCAGGAGCTATTTCCTGCTTAGAGACAGGTCTCCTGACACACCAGTCCCACTTCCAACTGCACTTTCTTCCTGCTGTGTTGTGAGTTGCCCTAGCACAGGGAGAAAAAAAAGCACTGAGACATAGGCCCCCTAGGAAAGCCATTTCTGAGAGCAAGTGCCTCCATTCCATCTTGTTTCTTCATTTCTTATTTTCTTCCTCCTCGCCTAGTCTTCGGGTGCTGGCACACCCACAGTAAGCCATGAGAACAGACATTTGCCATCTAGAGTGGCTGAGTCTATACCGGGGCCCTCCTACCAGTCTACAAGATGGCCTCCAGCAGGCCAGTGTGATTAAGCATAGAGGTTTTCCCACACACGACAGGACCAAGCCCTTGTCCTGAGCAGAGCTAGTATTTGCCATGTAAAAGGTGGTGTCACAGATGGATTCCGACAAAACAGCTAATCCAGATTAGGAAGAGTTCTCAGCTGGGAGGGTATGGACAGAGTCGGGTGACATTTAGTGGGTGGGGCCAGGGTTAGAGCCTACCATTTGAGGACTGGCCCCGACAAGACTCAACTATCCCCAAATGTCAACAGTGTTGAGACGGAGACAGGGACAGACCAATGAGAGGAAAGGGCTCCATCCACATGGCCTTTGAGCAGCTGCAGGGACTAAGGTGCTTACCCTGGTATATGCTCAGAAAGGACATGACAACATCTGCAAATGTCAGAGGGCAGGCTTACGAAGGAAGGGACAGGTTCCTATGACCCTTCCTACAAGGTGGAGTAAGGCATATGGCTGCTCAGTGTAAGTCTGGCAGACTTGGCTTAGAGAATCTGTCATACAAGCAAGGACCTTTGTGCCTGCTGTCTGTGCAAACGACACTCTCCGTGGCAGCTGCAGACCTAGCATTAATGCCTGACTGGAGCTGGGCCCAAGGCCCTCTCTACGAAGCCAAAGTGGTCTTTCTTTTCCTCAGTTCTAGCCTGGAAGCCTAAGAGGCACAGACAGTTTTCTTCTGGCCGCCATCTGGGCTGCAGAGAGGGGAAAGCCAGCCTGCTCCCAGAGCGCTGGGTCTCAATTCCCTTCTATTTTTAGGTGGTCATGTTCCTGGCCAAGGTGTCCACAAACTAGTCTCTTCTCCCTCTGTTTCACTGGCTCTTACATTTGTGGGTTCTTGCAAGAAGCAGAAGATTCATCTTCATCCAGGATAACACTAAAGCAGCAATGAATGATTTAACCAGAGTGAGACGCTCCAGCCAAAACCTTCATGCTAAAGCAACTCTGTGCACTGCCTAGGAGGGAATAAGACAGTCAGCTGCCCTCCCATCTCCTTCCTTAGTACTGAAAGTTCAGGTTCCTAGGGCAGGAAAGGCCAGGGCCATATAACCCTGGCCTGCCTGGAAAGTCACTGACTGAAAGCCTCAAGTTCTCACCCCTGCTCCAACAGTGAAGTGCAAGCACCACCCATACCTGAGAGCGCTTCCATTTGCCCATATCTGGAACTGTGTGGATCTCCTTTTTTGGAATGATAAAGTTCTGAGTAGCTGGAGGGGTCTCCTCTGGAGAATCTTGATAAAGAAAGTAAAAGGCAAACAGGTAAATAACTCCTCCCTCTAAGCTCTCCCCCTTTTTTGGAGGCAGGTTCTCTCTATGTAGCCCAGACTGGCCTAGAACTCAGATGCAGATCAGTCTGGCCTCAAGTTCAGAGAGCTCTTCCTGCCTCTGTCTCTCAGGTGCTGGGATCAAGGGATGGGAAACCATAACTGGCCCTCTCTCTCATTTTTTCCCCCAAGACAGGGTTTCTCTGTATAACCTTGACTATCCTGGAACTCACTCTGTAGACCAGGCTGGCATCCAACTCATAGAATCAGAGTGCCTTCAGAGTACTGGGATTAAAAGCGTGGGCCTCTACAACTGGTTCTGTCAGTTTTAAAGCAAGACTCCAGCCCTCAAGCCCAAGCAAAAGTTTAGCCAACCCCATCAGTTTCCAGCCTTTCATTTCATAAGAGGTGAAAAAGCAAAGCAGGCCAGGGAGACAACGCGGTTGGTAAAGTGCTTGCCACAGAAGAATGAGAGGCTGAGTTCAGAACCCCAACATACACACAAAAAGCTGGGCACAGTGACATACATGTGTAATTCCAGTGCTGGGGAGGCAATCAGGTGGATCAATGGAGCTCACTGGTCCGTAAGCCTAGCTGAGTCCATAAATTCCTGGTTCAGTAAGAGCTGTCTCAAAAACAGATGAGGACAACACCCAAAACACAACCTCTGGCCTCTGCTTCCATACATACCAGTACAAATAGAATTCACACATATACACAAAGTGACTGGCAATTTCTCTAGTAACCACTCCCTCCCTACTCCTAAGTGGATAAGACACTTTAAAAACGAAACAAAACAAACAAACAAACAAAAAAAAAAAAAAAAAAAAACAAGCCAGGCACATTGGCACACACCCATAATCCATGTACTTGCCTACAGTCTCAAAAAGTTTTGAGAGTCTGAAGCAAGAGGATAATCACCAAGTTGGAAGCCAGTCTGGGGGGGCAGCCTGAGTCTGTCAAAAAAAAAAAAAAAAAGAAAGAAAGAAAGAAAAGGAAAAAAAGAAAGGAAAGAGGACTGGAGAGATGGCTCAGCAGTTAAGAGCCTGAATGTTCTTCCAGAGGACCAGGGTTCAATTTCCATCACCCACATAGCAGCTCACAACTGTCTGTAACTCCAATGCAAAACATCAATGCCCATAAAATAAAAATAAATTTAACAAAAGAAGAAAAAAGAAAATCAAGTTGACCTTTATACCTCCACAGAAAAATCTTAAAAATATAAATTGCAACCAACAGCTGAAAAAAAAAAAAATCAACACAACTAAACAAGCAAATACAGATAAACTATAATGTATACAGGGTCTCTTCTTCCAGATAAGGTTGGAAGATCAAAAGCATGTGGCAGTAATCTAAGGGGAAGCAGGGCTCTCTGCTGAGATACTCAGGGAGGGGCCACCCTTAGGGGCAGCATGGAGCAGCTCTGCTCTGTGTTCTTCAGTTAACTGCAAACAGTGACCCCAGGGCGCACAGCTCCACTAAGAGGGCAATTTGCCCTACTGGTGTGCTCGGAGAAACAAAAAGATGCACAAAAGTCCTTATTGTAAGGGGAAATTAGAAACACCCCAAATATCAATCAGAAAAGTAATGGGTGATATGTCCATATAATGGAAAGCCTTATGGCTTTTGTTTTTCTGCTTTTCTAAAAAACTCTTTTTATTATTTTAATTTTCTTCCTAGGCAGATGGTGGTGCACACCTTTAATCCCAGCACTCAAGAGGCAGAGGCAAGAGGATCTTTGTGAGTTCGAGGCCAGCCTGGTCTACAGAGTTCCAGGACAGCCAGGGCTACACAGAGAAACCCTGTCTCAAAAAAAAAAAAAAAGACATTTTATTATATTCATCATACTAATTTATATTTACTTTCTCTACATTTAAGGGTGTGTGTGTGTATATATGTGTATGTGTGTGTATACAGAGTTAACATGTCTTCAGGAGGCCAAAGGTACCCTCTGGAGCTAGAGTTACAAATGGTAGTGAGCCACCCAACCTGAGTGCTAGGAACCAAACTCAGGTCCTCTGCAAAAGCACCCTTACCTGCAGAGCCAGCCCTCCAGCACGGTCTTTGTTTGTTGTTGTCCTTGTTCCTGTCTCCCCACTTCCAGGTTACACCACACACATACACACACACACACACACAGGGTTTCTCTGTAGCGCCCTGGCTGCCCTTGAACTCTGCTCTGTAGACCAGGATAGACTTGAATTCAGAGAGTCACCTACTTCCACTTCCCTAGTGCTGGGATTAAAGCTGTTTTTTTGTGTTTTTAAGATTTATTATGTACACAGTGTTCTGCCTGCATATATGTCTGCATATGTGCCAGAAGAGGACACCAGATCTCACTATAGATGGTTGTGAGCCACCATGTGGTTGCTGGGAATTGAACTCAGGACCTCTAGAAGAACAGCCAGTGCTCTAAAGCTCTGAGCCATCTCTCCAGCCCAGCTTTTGGTTTTTCAAGGCAAGGTCTCACTATGTAGTCCTAGATGTCCTGGAATTCACTCTTGTGGACTAGGCTGGCCTCCAACTCACAAAGATCCACCTGCCTCTGCCTCCCCAGTGCTGGGATTAAAGGCGTGCGCCATGACTGTGGAACTTCTTCACAGCTTTTAAAAAGAATAAATATCTGTATCACAGGCATAGGAAGAGCTGTCTACATATGAACAAGTGAAGAACATTCACAAGCTCTCCTTTAATCCCATTCTTGTAAAACAACTCATATTCTACTAGTCTACTATATTAAACAGCAAAGCTCCTGACAGTCACCTCTAAGACAGTCTAAACTGGCTTCTACTTTTAAAATTAAATTATGTTTTCAAAATCACCAAAAGTCTAGAAACCCAAGGTTATTTTACAATAAGTTTATAAACTACTACGTAGATATCCGTAGGCTTTGTAGCTGAGTGGAGGCATTTACACACTGCTGAAATGATTTCCATTGGTTAGGAGTGTACCTCCTTTAACATGAGAAACTGAATTCCAAACACACCTGCCAAGGTTTCAGAGAGCTTAAGCCTGCGTCTGCCATTGGAGATGTGGTAGTTCCGTAAGCATCTCCTTTAAAAATGCACCTCTCAGGAAGGCAGAAGATGATGAGATCCACCTAATGTAAACCTGCCCGGCTGCCTTCCTCTAAAATGTCATCACTGCATACAGAAAGCCACAGAGGCCCAGAACGTCAAGGGAACTGAGCCCGCCTGGAGAAGTCATGAGGAAATGGAAACTGCCAGGGGATTTGGAGACCTGAGGGGAGAGATAAGAGATAAAGTTCCCAGCCTCAGCAGAACTCAAGAGTAAAGCAGAGGGGGAGGGAAGGGGAAAAAGTCATGTAGAGTCCAGCAGCTCCCCTCCAAGCCCCTACCCTTTCCCCCCCCCCCCCCCCCCCCCCCCCCCCCCCCCCCCTCCCAGTAAAAAGCTACTTGAAGTAAGAAGCTTAATAAAAAAATTTGAAGCCGGTCTGGTGAGCTAACCACAGCTTACTGAGACACATTTTATGGGAAAATGTCCTCCCCATCCCAAATAACCAACCTGCAAATGAGCTTTGGGATCCAGCCCTCTTGTAAGAGACCTATTCCCTGCAAGAAACTGACCTCCAGACACTATTTCACAGAGAAGGTGGCCTCCAGGCCTGGCTATGTCCTCAAGAAACAGTAAATCACTGTGAGGCAAAAGAATAAGTTACTGAAGAAACACAGTTGACAGAATCCCAAATCAAACACAAATGGGCAAACAAATGCTAATAATAAGCCTTCAGAAACAAGACTATGAGAGAGATCACACCCACAGCCTCTCCATTCTCAGGTTGCCTCTGACAAGAGACCCAGAGACACTGGATCACCTACATTGACAGAGATGTTCCTTGAAAAGCCCCCAAAGCGGCCCAATAGCCAGTGATGGGCACCAGCACGTCACTACAATATCCCAGCACTCAGCTGGTGGAGGCAGGGCCCCAGCCTTGTCCACATAGTGAGACCCTGCCTCAAAACAAAGCTGAGCATGGTGACCCAGCCCAGTGAGCCCAGCCCATGGAAGGGGAGACATCCGGGATCAGATACTCAAGGTCATTCTTGGCTGTTAGGATCATTTCTAGGGCAGCCAGGGCCAGTGACCTTGTATCAAAAGCACATGCTGGATAGAGAAGCATAGGCCTGTAATCCCAGCACTCAGGAGGCAGAGGCAGGAGGATCTCTGTTCCAGCCTGGTCTTCACAGTAAGTCTATACAGTGAGTGCTAGTCCTAAAAAAGTTCTGTGTATGTGGCATGTGCAGAGAACAGAGCCTTATCTGGAGATGTCACAAGCAAATGAAAAATGACAGGAGATTTGGAGATACACAGTGAGACTCTGTCTCTAAATAAATAAATAGATACATAAATAGATAAATAAATAAAGCAGGAACAAAAGCATACACAATCCCTAAGAATGTGCTGGATTATCATCTCCCATTTGGATGTGTCATGTTTGTATCCAGTGAGTACCCGCCACACCCAAAACTCTGCTCACATCTGACAGCCCACACACCACAACTCCATAAGGAGAGTTTGATAACCTCGTTTTAAATTATTTTAAAATTACATTCCAGGGCTGGAGAGATGGCCTAGTGGTTAAGAGCACTGGCTGCTCTTCTGGACAACCCAGGTTCAGTTCCCAGCACCCAGATGGCAGCTCACATCTGTCTGTAACTCCTGTTCCAGGGGAATCTGGCACCTTCACAGAGACATGCATGCAGGCAAAATACCAATACACATCAAAATAAATCAATCTTAAAAAAAATTAAAGGGGCTGGAAGGATGGCTCAGTGGTTAGAGCACCGGCTATTCCCCCCAGAGGTCCTGAGTTCAAATCCTGCCACCCACACAGTCTCACTCTATAGTGAGATCTGCATACATAATAAATAAATCTTAAAAAAAAACTGTTAATAAATTAAAATTACATTTCTATATTTGTGTGCGTGTGTGTATGAACCACACCATGTATGTGGAGGTCAGAAGACAACATGCAAGAGTCAGTTCTATCCCTGCCCCTTGTGGGTTCCACGGATGGAAGCCAGGCTTCCAGGCTCGGCAGCAGGCAGCTTACTGAGCAGAGGATCCTCATTCTCAGTCTACTAAAGGACACTGAGGCTGTGACTTGCCATTTAGTCTGTGTAACTCCAAAATTTCCACAACTGTACAGAATGTCTTACCAGTTCATCTAAAAGCTCCTGTCTGGGCTGAAGGCAGGAGTGTTAGGTCCTCCTAACACTTCCCATCCCGCTGTCCCTCGTATGTATTCAGATCTATATTACTCCTTAAACATGGGCTAAAATTGATAACGTTAATTTTCAAAAGTAAATAACACCTCTGGGCATGGTAGCACACCTTTAATCCCAGCACTCAGAAGGCAGAGGCAGGCAGATCTCTGCTAAATTTGAGCCCAGTCTGGTCTACAGAGTTCCAAGCCAGCCAAGGCCATTATGTATAGTGAGATCCTAAATACTATTTAGGGTCCAAATCCATAAATACAATTTCAGACTTCAAAAGGGACTGCTTCCAGGGACCCGAGTCTCTCCAGAAGTTAGAGTACCTCCCTGAGGTTTGTGACCCCCTCATCCTCCCAGTCCACACGTTCAGAGACTCATTTCAAAAGGAGCCGGACTTCTTGATGGCTCCTATCTCTTCATGCCATCACCAGAATTGATTATGACACATTCATAGAGGTTTGGGATAATTTAAAATAAATGTCTCCTTTTGAATTCCGCTGTGCTCATCTATTTTCGAGGACACAGAAATGGTGCCTCTTTGGGTCCACAAAATATGAAGCGTGGTGGAGGGATCATTAAATGCTTTTAAAAACATGAGCTGCGTTTAGCCAACTCATCCGTTCTCTGTAAGAAATTTTCAGTCCTTAAGTCCATGGAGTCAGCAACCCTTTCTTGTTCTCCAGGAGTGGGGTCTCCGCTGAGCTAGCCTGTACATCTGCCCTAGTTACTTGAGATGAACTACAATGAGGCCCCAGTGTAAATAAAAGTTACAGACAGTGATGCCACCAACCCTCTCATCTGGCACAAACAGCCTTTTTAAATTAGTGGTTTAGACAACCACGGGTAGTTTCTCTCAATTAACTCTGCAGATACTGAAATCCCAGAGCCAGGCCTTTACGAGGGAGGGAGGGAAGGCAGGAGGGAGGGAAAAAGATGCGGGGTGGGCAGGGCACAGAGGAGGCTGGCGTCCGAGCGAGGCCCAGGTCCACTAGAGCAGCCTCAGGAAAGAATGCAGCCTCCCGGATGCCCCTCGGCCCCGACCCCGGGCCCCTCTGCCACCAGAACACCTCGACACGCTCTGCCCTTCCCGACCGCCCTGCCCGGGCCGTCCCCGAGTCCGGTCGTCCTCCCCGTCCGTCCCCCGCCTGCGGCCCCAGGCCCGGGGCCGTCAGCTTGGCCTCCCGAGACCCCCGCGCCACACCCACGCCCCCTGCCCACCCTCACGCCAGGGCCCTCCAACCGCCCTACCTGGCGGCGGCTGCCGCTCGCCCTCGGCCATCTTCTCCGTCGGGAGCGGGCGCGGAAGCTGGCCGCTACTTCTCCCAGCTCACCCGCACCTCTCCCCGGCTCCGCCAAGCTTCCAGAAGAGCAGTGAGCGCTGGCCGGCTACGACCGGAAGCCGAGAATTACAGTCACTGCCGTGAAGGCGGCAGCCATACCGGCGCCGGGCACTCAGGGAGCATGCCCACCAACTGCCGTCTCGCGGCGGCCGCGGCGGCAGAGGCGGCGGCCATTTTAATGCGGGGCGCCGGGGAGCATGCGCACTAACGGCTGCCGCCCGCCGGCCCACTACAGAGACGACGGCCATATTTGTGCGGGGCGTCCGTTTTTGTTTGTTTGTTTGTTTGTTTTGTCTGTTTGTTTGCTAGTTTTGGGGGCGATGGAGGGACTAGGTGTGGCAGGCAAATTTTGTGGGGCAGGGCTACCTGTCATCTCTGTGCAGCGCACTGAGCCTAGCCCAAGGCATCTGAGACAGTCCCTGTCAATACAGTTGTGTCCTCCTGCCGCTTGATTGACGTCCAAGGACACCGGTCACGCAGCCACCTTGACAGCTTCGGTGGCGTTCGGAGGCGGAGAGCGCGGGCCGCGCGGGGACTAACGTCGTGACCCCGTGACGGAAGCCCAGAGCCCGGCTTCTAACGGCCGAGCCGGAGGTCGCTCGCCGCTGGCCCCGCCCCCGTGCCCACGCCCCGGCTCGCGCCTACCTAGCGGCCCGGGACGGCCACCCTCCGAAGCTCCACCTCGTGAGTCCTGCTCCACCGGCCGCCCGCCCGGCCGGTGGGCGCGGGGCCGCCTCGACTGGCTAGTGGCAGTTTCTCGGCGACCTTGAACCTAGAGCCCGAGCGGGGAACCCGCTGACCCCAACAGCGGCGCAGACTTTGCCCAGCGCGAGGGGCGGAGCGGACCGAGTGTCCACAGACAGACCGGGACGATGTTAGCCTTTGCTGCCAAGACTGTGGTGAGTACGCCCTGGACGGCCTGGGACAGGACAAGGCGGGCGGGCCCGCGGGCTGCAAGGAAACGGCGGTCCGGAACCCCACACCGGCTGTTAGGGTTCGTTCGATCCACCAAGTGGGCAGAGTAGATGGACCAGGTGAGGGGCGGAATCGAGCCCAAGACCTGTCAATGACCCAGAAAAAGAATGGACTGTTTAGATTCAAGTCTTTTGCTCCTTTACACCCCGTTTCTCCTTCACGCTCTCAGTTATTCTGACTCAGACACCTGTCGGGAAGTCCTGGCTGGGTCTCAGCCTCAGGCACAGCTGCCCCCGCCCAGACCAGACCCACTTCTCCAAGCCTACCCAGTTGGTCATTCTCCTTCTTGAGTTCATCAGATGCTTATTCTCCCCCACTGCATGTGGCTAAGAGAACCCCAAGTGGAGACTTGTGCTGAAAGTCCCCAGATTGGGCAGGGGGAGGCAGGAGGTGGCAGGCTGCCCCTTGCCATGCTTACCCACCTCTGCTGATGTGAGCTTCTATCCTCTGATTCAAGTTTTCTGCAACTGTGAGCTGTGCCTCCCTGTCAGACGCTGGGTTGGAGCTAAAGGTAGCCATATCAGCTCAGATTGAGATTTTTTTTCTAGGAGTCCCAGCAGCACCTGAGACCCTTCTCACCCTTTGCAAAAAGCTGTACCACACCATTTAACAGACTGCTTTCACATCATTCTCTGGGACCACCATACTGGCATAATCATTTTAATGCTGGAGAATGACACAGGAGACAGTCAAATCCCATGGCTCTGCTAGTGAAATTTAGCCCAACCCACACACTAGGGTCCTGTGGGTTATTATTAATACCAAAAGTACTAGTGTGCCCTCCCCCCCCCCCACATCCCCACACACTTTTGGTCCTAGCCTGAATAACCCAAAGCTCATTAAAAAACAAAACAGAACAAAACCAGATTTTGGTTCCACCCAAAGCCCCTGGGTCTAGAAGGGAAAGGTGTGCACAGGTTGGCCGCAGCCCACCAGTGGCCCTTTCCTGGCACCTTCTGTCTTGCAGCAGCCCCACCCTGATCTCAGGGCCATGGGTTAGTGGCCAGGGTGTTTCCACCCTCCAGCCAAGTTTTCCCACATCAAAAAGATATATCAAGATTTTGACAGGTGGATTTTTTAATACCCCTTGGCTTGCCTCCCTGGCGCTGAGCCCATCCAAAGAAGAAAGGTTTCCTCCTACTCCAGTGCCTACTTCCAGCCCGCTTACCTGCCGCTGTTCCTCTTCTGGAAGCTAGGGAGAGGTAGAGTAGCGGCTGCAGTCCTGTAACCACCGCTGCCACAGCCTTAGACGGTGCCCCATCAGTGGCTACTGCCTCACTCCTCCCTCACCCCTGAACTGTGGGTCTTGTCTTCTCTTTCCAGCACAGGCAGATGGCTGCCTCTTGCTAGTTTCTGCTCATCCAATCGGTAGCACAGTTAGGCTTAGAGATCCAGCCAAGGCAGACAGACAGGGCTCACACCCTCAGTCCTGCCATGGAGGACAAGCAGCAGAGAGAGAAGGTATGGAATGAAGTTTCTGCCACTTGCCTGCCACTGCGCCAGCAGCCTGAGACCTTCCTGTCTTGCTTCCTGCCACTTGCAGAGTCTCCTGGACTCGCCCCACCGACTCTCCCTGCTGCCTCTCACTCTCTATGCCATCCTACTCAGCTCACTTGCTGCAGCGCTGCCTCCCACCTTCACGACCATCCCATAGTGGCTAGGAAGCCCAGAGGCTGAAGCCCACCCCGGCTGAGATCTGGCTCTCCCATTTCCAATTCTCTCCTATTTCTCCAGCTGGAAAGACATAGGGGGGGGTAGGGGCCGGGAGGTGAGAAGTTGGGGGAGAAAAGTAGAAAGCCAGCTGCCACCTGTCTGCTGGCTGACTTATCTACCCAGAGCAAGAAAGATGATGGGGCTTCTGCATCCTGACAGGTGGGAGGCCCCTTACCTCTGCCAATAATGTCATTCACCTCCTCCCCCACCCTTTCCTAGCCTTCCTGCCCTTCTAGGTCCCTGAGAGGCGGGACTCCTTACCTTGAGGGCTGAGCATCCAGGGAAGGCACCACCCATGGAGGTGTCTTTGCCCCGGAGATGCCATATAAGAACCTAGGACTTCAGTTTGGTGAGAGCTGTGCTTCAGTCTGAGAGAATGAGTAGGCTGTTCTGCTTCCCACAGGTAAAGCCCCTGGGCCTCCTCAAGCCTTCCTCCCTGATGAGGGTTTCTGGTCGCTTCAAGGCCCACCAAGATGCATTGCCCAGGCTGCCTGTGCCCCCACTCCGGCAGTCCCTAGACCATTACCTGAAGGCCCTGCAGCCCATCGTGAGTGAGGAAGAGTGGGCCCACACCAAGCAACTGGTGGATGAGTTTCAAGCCTCAGGGGGTGTAGGGGAGCGCCTGCAGAAGGGACTGGAGCGCAGGGCCAAGAAAATGGAGAACTGGGTAAGTAAGATGGCAATGTCTTGATGGTCCCCTTGGGGTCCTAGGTCTTCCAGAGCATCCCTCAGGTTGTTTGTTGCTGGCTGCATGCCCACATTCTCCCCCATACCAGTTGCTCTGGCATTTTTGTTTGCTTGACAGGGTTTACCTGAGTAAATACCCTCAGCAAGTGCAGGGTAGGCAAAAAGGAGCCTCTCAGAGCTGAGACTCAGTGGAGTGGGGAAAGGAGGGCGGTAAACAGGACTGGAAATCAGTAGGTAAAGTCATGTTAAGCAGAGAAATTACATGGAGATTTTTGAAAAGGTCATAGTAGCTGGGATTGTAGCTGTGTGGTAGAACACTATGAGACTGGGTTCCTGGGCCTGAGGGAAAAAGAGGAGGAGGTATGGATGGCAGGAGGAGAATGCACTGGATTTGAAGACAAAGGTAGCAAGATATGCCTGCTTTGGGACAGAGCCTGGGCCAAAGTGTGTTCAGAGCAGGCTGGGCAGTCAATTAGAAGGAATGTAAACCTGAGCTTGGTGCAACAGCCTGAGGCAGGTCAGCCTGAGTTTGTTGTACATGCTCCTGGGTGTGTGTCTAGTCAATTAGATTAATTCAATTTGTAAAACACATCTTCACCAGTACTTGGTACACATTTCTGTATTCGTGTTATACCCAAAGATTAAAAAGAAAAAAAGATAGCCCCAGCTGCTAGGAAGGAAGGAAGAGCAGGAGCCTGGGGCAATGAAGAGGTCAATGCCTTCACCTAGATGTCAGGGCCTAGGCCTGGCACAGTGAGGCAGGGAGTCATGAGGTCCAGACCTGCTTGGGAGACCGCCTGTGGCACTCACTAGTACAGTGAGACTGAAAGGTGGAAAGTCTTCTTTTAAAGCAACCGGGTAGAAAGCTGTCACCAGTATTTAAACACAAGAAAGAAGCTGGCTGTGGAGAATGTCTGGGTGGAAAACACCCATTATCCATGGGGCATTGGTTCCATGGCCCCATGGACAGCAAGATCTACAGATGTTCAAGTCCCTTAGGTGATTCAGTATTTTTGTCTCACTAAATCCCTGCTACCATAGACCTTAAGTCATCTCCAGATGATATAATCTCTAACAGCATAAATACTGGCTAAATAGGTATGCTGAATAGTTTAAGAGACAGTTATCAAAAAATAAAAAGGCCCATGTACTCAGTATGGACGCAGTTGTCTGTTTTTCACACATTCTCCATCTGGGCTGCTGGGATCTGTAGGTACAGAATCTGCACATCTGGGCCGACTGGAGTAGAAAATGGGAGGCACCTTGGATCGGTGGGCCTCCGGGGAGTCTGGAGCCACATGCAGGAGGAAGGAGACAGGTGGGACACGTGGGGACAAGCACTTGCCGAGCCTTAGCAGACCAGGGCCTTGGACTGTTGAAATGAGAATGCTGGCCTTAACAGGGCCTTAGAGATTCTGGCGTCCAGCGGCTTTCTGACTTTGTGGAGCCAAGGAATCCTTGAAGCCAAAGGCTCTGACTAGAATTAGAGCCCTCACTGGGTCCTTGAAGCATTGCTGCTACTGCCAGGGGCACCTTCTCCCCTTGCCTAAACAGTAGCCTGGGATCCTTGCAATCCCTGTGGGTGTGAAGGCCCCTGGCTGAGAGGGAGCCCTGTCTGTCCTCTTCCTACAGATGAAGAAGCTGATACCTAGAGAGATAGACCAAAGTTCAGATCCTCAAAGTAGCTTCAGAAAGACCCTGAGATGCATAGGAAGGCCTGGGTGCCTCAGAGGGTTCAGTCCGTGGCTCTGAGTCAGGAGAGGGCATTCCTGTGTTACCCAGTCTGTGGCAAGTCACCTTCCTCTCCTCCTGCCAAGGGCCCCAGATTAGTGGCCTGATGCCACAGGCCAGCCACTGTGTGGTATGTAGACACATTCTGCTTCTATTTGGGATGGGCGTGGAACACACTGGGAGGCCTGGGTCTCAAGGGGTTTAGGAACATTATAAAAGTTAGGGTATAGCATGGTAGCCCATGGCTAGCACATGGGAAACAGATGCTCAGATCTCTGTGAGGCCAGCCTAGTATGCATTTCTCTAAGTCAGCCAGGGATATATAGTGAGATTTTTATCTCAAAATAAAACAAATAGGGGTAGGTGGGAGTTGTTGGGAAAAAATACCTACTGTGACTTAATATAAGTTGTAATCAGCACAGAAGACTAAAGGGTACCATTAATGCCATGCCTGTGGCTGGTCCCCTACCTATCTATGGGGCAGAAAAGACATCTTACCCTGTCATTGAGGTTCCCCCCTTAAAATTGCCCTGATCTTGAAAACCAGTGTTGTCCTCCTAGTCTAAGGCCACTGAGGAGGACCGGTTCCTGTGGGTGGTCCTGACCACAGGCTGGCTTCTGGAACCATTCCCAGGTGGAGATGATTGACACCCACTTGGCTGGGCTTTCTTTTCACCTGTCGTTGCTTGCTTTATTCCTCATATCTAGGCATGCATTTTTAGTTACCAGTGGATTATAATCACTGACGGGACATTCGTAAAATAAAGCAAGGCTAGAGCTCAGTGACCAAATGTGTGTGTGTTAGCGTGTGTGTGAAGCCCTGGGTTCAAGCCTCTCAAAGCAGAAAGACACAAGAACAGCTGCTCACGTATTCATTCCCCTGCCAGCCTTGCTTCTGGTCATTTTTCCCGCAGCTCATTCTCTTGGCAGTGCTGATTGTTCAAGCTCAGGGAAGATGATGGGTAGAGGAAGGCGGGGATGGATACTGTGGACCTTAGCATTTGCTGAGGGACTGTCCTGCAGGGAGGCTGAAGGACACCAGGGCCAGCTAGATGCCTGGTCCTGGGGAAGAAGGGGACACGAGGTGCCTATGCTCTACTCCTAATCAGCCCTGTCCTTGTCTAGCTGTCTGAGTGGTGGCTCAAGACAGCCTATCTCCAGTTCCGGCAGCCTGTGGTCATCTGCTCCAGCCCAGGAGTGATGCTGCCCAAGCCGGACTTTGTGGATCTGCAAGGCCAGCTCCGGTGAGTGTCTGAGACCAGCACGAGGCTGCACAGTGCCAGTGGACAGGGCCCCGTGGGCTTCCGGAGCCCGTAAGTCTACTCCCTAGGAGACTGAAAAGGCCTCCACCCTGGGCTTTTCACCCCACCAACAGCCTCATTTACAGACAGGGAAACTGAGGCTCAGAGCAATGAGGGAACTTTCTCCTATGGTCACAACTCAAGTTAAGAAGACAGGTTTCTAGTGCCAGGGCTTTGTAACCACCCTCTAACCTTGCCCTGAGTCCCTCCCACTCTTCAGCTGGCCACACAGTGACCTTTTACACAGTCCCCTTTTCCACATTCGTCCATGTCACCTGCCCTGGCCTGTTCCAATCCTACCAGAGATAAAAATACTAGCAACAGGGATCTTCTGCCCGGGAGCCTGCTACTCATTACAGCCACCAGCTTCTCTTAAAGAAGCCAGGGCAATAATAGAGAGAAGCCAGGAGGGAAAGAAAGGAAGAAATAAGTGTGGCTCAGTGGTTGGGTAGTTGTCTAGCACATGCACACACAAATAATAAAAGGATAAAGTCCTCCTGGTTCCATTTGGGACTCAGCCTGGGAACCCCAGCAAGCCCACACTGGGAATGCCTCAGGCACTGGGAAATAGCTGGTATGAGCCAAGAAACCCCCTTTCCTGGGCCTAAGAAATCCAAGGAGAAAAAACAGGTTGACAGTGGTGTTGTGGGTCATAAAGACTCAGAAAGAGAAAGGGGCGTAGCAGCAGGGATACTTAGACCCAGGAGGGTAGCCTCAGCTGTCTCAGCAGGGTGAGGAATCTCCACATAACGAAAACCTCTGGCCACTCAGGCCCTTGGTGGGTGACAGTCACCACTGCTTCTTAGCCAGAGTGTGCACTGTTGAGTAGCGCCCGGGTCCTTTCAGGTTCTCTCCCACCAGTGTTTCCCCCAGGCTAACGCAGCCTTCCTGCTGGAGATGATGAAAAGCTCAGGCTAGCCTCCCACTGTGGTGGATCCACTTGGAAGTCCTTAGGCCTCTGTACACCGAGGAGGGAGTAGTGATTCCATAGGTCCTACCCTTCGCTGATCCCCCTGTACTCAGCACACATCCCTGTCCCAGGGTCCTCCATTAAATGTCCACACAGATTCACGGCTCCATTTCATCTTCTAGGTTTGCTGCTAAACTCATCGAGGGTGTGTTGGATTTCAAGTCCATGATTGACAAGTGAGCAACCCCACCCAGACTACCCTTGCCCATGCCTGCCTAATACATAGCCACCCCTGGCTTTAGCCCTGAGCCCACAGTGTGTCAACCTGGGCACTGAGCAGGCCCATGTCATTTTCACATCCTGTTGGCCCAGTTTGGGAAGGGATTGAGGACAGTGATAAGCAAGAGTGGGGACATTTAAATCCTCTGCTCTAGTTCATAGGACTTCTGGTGACCTTGTCATCCCAGCCAAAATTGATCACAGTTGCCTGAGGCAAACTGAAGCCCAGAAAGGGAGAGGGAGGGAGGTTTGGGTGACTCATGAACAGGGCCCTAATCCCTAGAAAGAACAGGTGGCACGACCCCCTTTTACCTTAATGGCCCCTGTTCATGCTGGTAGCAAGTAGGGACACCAAGGAATAGGTCTCTCACCCAGTTCCAAGTAGTGCTAGTAGGTATCTGCCTACCCTCTTCCCTGTTCTCTTGCCCAGTGCCCCTATGTCCCTATGTCCTCCCACAGTGAGGCCCTGCCAGTTGAGTTCCTTGGGGGAAACCCACTGTGTATGAACCAGTACTATCAGATCCTGTCTTCTTGCCGTGTGCCGGGCCTCAAGCAAGACTCAGTGGTGAACTTCTTAAAGACAAAGAAGCCTCCCATGCACATAACTGTGGTACATAACTACCAGGTAGGCACTGCCGCCCCGTCCAAGGGACCCTAGCCCTCCTTTCTCCCCGCCCAGCCCACCTCCAGCTTCTCCGCTGGCCCAGGCTGCACTGGTTGTGACCTCCACTGCCAAAGCCAGGCGAGGCTGGTGGGCATTCTTTGCCTGAGATGACTCAACTCTCTTCTCTTCCATGTCTGTGCTTCGCAGTTCTTCGAGCTGGATGTGTACCACAGTGACGGGACACCCCTGACCTCGGATCAGATCTTTGTGCAGCTGGAGAAAATCTGGAACTCCTCACTACAAACCAACAAAGAGCCTGTTGGCATCCTAACCTCCAACCACCGCAACACCTGGGCCAAGGCCTACAATACCCTCATCAAAGGTACATCCAGGACAGGGCTTCCTAACATGCCAGATAGGTCCAACACCAGGCTGGGGCAGCCGCCATTTCATCAGACTCTCAATTTGGAGCAGGTATTACTGGCCCATTTTATAGATGAGAAAACCAAGGTTCAGGTTGGTGAGGTCAGTTTCTCCCTGTGAAGTAGCAAGTTGGATTTAGCATTCTGAACCACCCCCATCAAATCCCATACTAGCCATGGGCATTGTCATAAAGTCAGATTGCTGGTGTTGTATCCCTGACTGCCACACCAGCTCTCCATGTGACCCTGGGCTTCTGCTTTTCTATGTCTATAGTTTGTCAGGTGTTGGGCCCGCCTTTTGTGGTGGTGGTTGGGGGGTACCTGTACATGCCCTAAATGCCCCAGAGGTGGGGAACCCCCCATCTCTAGAGGGGCATGAAGTAAGAAGAGCCCAGGGCAGGAGAAACAGGTTCTGAAGCGCCCTACCATGCCTACCCCAACTCCTACAGACAAAGTGAACCGGGAGTCGGTGAGCTCCATTCAGAAGAGCATCTTCACCGTGTGCTTGGACAAGCCAGTGCCCAGAGTCTCGAACAATGTCTACCGCAACCATGTAGCAGGCCAGATGCTGCATGGGGGTGGCAGCAAGCTCAACAGTGGCAACCGCTGGTTCGACAAGACACTGCAGGCAAGTGAGGGCCTGTCAGGGCCATGGCCCCAAAGCTCGGTTCACTGAGGCTCTGAACTTTATGTTCTCTCCTTAGTCCCAGCGTCCCCAGCCTCCTGCTTGTAAAGCAGGCAGGAAGAGAAGAGGCTGGACGCTGCTGTAATTACCAGGCAACCAGCCTGTCATTACCAGGCCTGCATGCCACTGACACCCCCAGCATAGCCCTTTAACATGTCAGGCACAGTCTGGGTATGACTTTTCCTCTGTGTTCACACCACAGGTGCAGTAGAACCCCTGGGGGTGGCATGCTTCTGAGGACCTGCTTTCAAATGCACTGAGCAGAGCACTTGGGTGTACCTGAGAGTGTTGGCATAAAGGCTGGAGGTGGCTTCAGGGCCCTTCCTGTGAGGCCCACCCAGACAGCAACTGGGTCAAGGAGCCACCCTCCAGGGACTGGGGGCTGACAGGATGGGTCCTTCCTCATCCACAGTTCATTGTGGCAGAAGATGGCTCCTGTGGACTGGTTTATGAGCATGCGGCTGCAGAAGGGCCCCCCATTGTTGCTCTTGTGGACCATGTCATTGAGTACACGTGAGTATGGTCACAGCCTCATTGCCCAGGTCCTGGGGGCAGGTTAGGTATGCAGGTGACAGACCTAGTTTGTAGAGAAATTCACTCTCATTTGAACCAAAGGGTCAGTTTGTCTTTGTCTTTTAGAAAAAAAAAAAAAAAATTCAAGACAGGGTTTCTCTGTATAGCCTGGCTGTCCCAGAACAAACTCTGTAGACCAGGCTGGCCTCGAACTCAGAGATCCGTCTGCCTCTGCCTCCCAAGTACTGGGATTAAAGGCCTGGCTTAGAAGATTTTTTTTAAAGGTTTGTTTACATATTTATGTACACAGTTGCTTTGCCTGCATGTGTGCCTGCACACCAGAAGAGGGCACTGGATCCCATTATAGATAGTTGTGAGCCACCGTTTAGTGACTGGGAATTGAACTCAGGACCTCTGGAAGAGCAGAGCAGCCAGTACTCCTAACTGTCTAGTTAAAGGAAGTTGCAGAGGCTATAGTTCTGTTGTTGTTTTGTCGTGTACCTCTGGCCCTATACTTTCCTGTACTTATAGCCTTAGACAGTTCTCTTATTTTCCCCAGGCGGTCTCCATCTGGCTTGTTTGTTTAAACAGCCTCACTATAGCCTGGCTGGCCTGGAATTCCCTATGTGATCCAGGCTGGCCTCAAACTCACAGAAATCCACCCGCTACTGCCTCTTCTAAGCGCTAGGACTAAAGGTGTGCAGCACCACAGCCAACTCCATCTGGCGTCTTGAAAGGTTCACAAGAGCTAACCTACAATCTCTAACCCTCCTACCCTAGCTTCAGAGATTCCCCCTCCCCATCTCAGTCCCAGGGAAACTCCGGCTTCAGTGACACCAGCATGAGCCTGGGCTTCAGTGACACCAGCAT